GGGCCTGCCCTCTGCCACCTGGGAGCAGGCCTAAGCCAGCAGGTCGTTATCTCCCGAGGGGTCCCAGACTGCGAGAGGGCACAGACCGGGCTGAGGGACACCCCCTCGCCCCGTGCACAAATTTTTGTGCACCGGGCCTCTAGTCTTTATGTATAAAAGGCTAACATGCAAAGTGTCCCCTCGGGAGTTCAACAGCTAGTTCTCTCACTCGCTATGATGTTCACTACCACCAGGGGGCGACGCGGAACGAAGGAAGGCCCTGACCAGCAGCCAGCAGGCCCTGATTGCTGGCCAGGCTTAGGGATTCTACCAGGCCTCTAGTACTTAATATAGTAAATAGCCATGAAAGCAAAGGTTATTATTAGCAAAGAAAACTTCATAAAGTTCTGCTCCACACCTGTATTGGCAACCCCAAGCTGGGTTTCTCCAGCATTCTGGGTTTACACTGGGTCAATTCTGCATGACTGTGGCATCAGGCCTGAGTGGCAATAATCTCCAGGCCACTATCCTCTAAAATAAATAGCAACTAGCACAGGTCAATGTAAAAGGCTGGGAGAGTCTCTAACCCATTCTTCACCATCACTCCCTGAATTATAACCAGGATCATGCCTAGGCTGCCCAGGCCTACAGAAAGCCTACATAAAGACCAAAGAAACTGGGATGGGTCAGTTGCATGCAGTCATAATATAGCCTTAATAAATCATTCCTCTGTGAAAACACAGAGCTGTCCTACATAAGCTGAAAAACAAAACTGAAAATGGAAGAAATAGTAGAAGGAATTATGCTAAACTTGATTACAAAAATAGGGTCAAACCAAGCAAAAAGGAAACAAAAGAAAAAACAAAAAGGGTTTTCTGCTCCCCCTTTACCAATTTCAGATAATGTATGGAGTCAAAATACAAGATACACAATTTTCCCTTAATTTGGAATATAGACTAAAGATGAAATTTCACATATTCACTCCCCTATTTCACTGTAAGTAGGTCAATCTTCCGTACTCATCTCATGACTCTATCAAGATGGGAACTCTCGCCGAAACCGGTTTGGCTCAGTGGATAGAGCGTCGGCCTGCAGACTGAAAGGTCCCAGGTTTGATTCCGGTCAAGGACATGTGCCTGGGTTGCGGGCATATCCCCAGTGGGGAGTGTGCAGGAGGCAGCTGATCGATGTTTCTCTCTCATCGATGTTTCTAACTCTCTATCTCTCTCCCTTCCTCTCTGTAAAAAGTCAATAAAATATATTAAAAAAAAAAAAAAAAAAAAAAAAGATGGGAACTCTCGCCCTGGCTGGTTTGGCTCACTGAATAGAGCAGCTTGTGGACTGAAGGGTCCCAGTTCAATTCTGGTCAAGGGCACATGCTGGAGTTACAGGCTTGATCCCCAGTAGGGGGTGTGCAGGAGGCTGCTGATCCATGATTCTCTCTCATCATTGATGTTTCTATCTCCCTCTCCCACTCCTTTCTTCTTTGTAATCAATAATATATATACACATTTATATATATGGGAACTCTACATCAACTTTGAAGACAAAGGTGTTCTAGGATTTTGCTATTCCCATTCTGCTCCTTTTCTAGTTAGAAGCTCCAATATTCGTTCTCCTGTCATTCCTAGTATTTCCATCAGTAGTTACCAATTGTGTTATTTCACAGATCAATCAGAAGATAAAAAATATGGATTAAAAAGGGATATGATGTTTTGTACTAGACACAGATGAAGACTATGTGTTAAGAGAAAAAAGTCTCAAGTAACAGAACCCGCTTGGTCCTTTGTGCTTCCCCCTCAGTTTTATTTACCAGCTGTAAAATTTCAATATATATATATATGCTTGAGAGAAATGATGAAAAGGATACAGCAGCACAGTGTGTTAGACAAAAAATGCTTTGGAGTCAGGTAAATAGCCCTGAGTTCAAATTTAGCTCTGCTCCTTTCAAGCCTTTAGAGTTTAGATTTATTCTGTGCATTAAACAACAGTGTTGTGTACCTGTATAATAGCACACACATCTAGTCTGGAAGGTAATACCAAACTTTTGCCAAAACAAAAGTTGGTAATCACCTAGCAGTTTTCAAATACTTTCTTTGTTGGAATACATTCCTTCAAGAAAATTAACTTTAATATCCAAGAGAGCAATCCTAAAAAAGAAAACGAAAGCTTTATCTTCGAATTCCCTATCCAAAGACTAATTATTTATAGTCAAACCTAAATTCATCTCATTCTAAAACTGCACAACCCAGGCAACTCTCTGGAAAATCTTGGAGCAGGGTGGGAATTGAGAACACCAATCCACTTCGTTAAAATAAAGTTGGTTAAAAACTTCCTGTTTTTATAACTCAAAAAGTCAATAACTTAAAGCAACGCTAACTTGAGCAACAGAGTCAGATACTCAAATATTAGCTATGCACTCACTTGGCTGTATGACCATGAACAAACTACTTAACCTCTTAGACTCTCCATTTGTTTATCTTTAATGCATAGTAAATGTTAATATTTCTATTATTATAGTGATACATGAAGACAAAATGCACAATAATGAATCTTTGGGGAAAATTCCATTTCTTATTTGTTATACTGGGTGGAATAGTATATCTCCCCAAACTTATGAATGTGACCTTATTTGGAAACAGGGTCTTTGCAGATGTAATCAAGTTAAGAGCTATTTAATAATGGGGGCTATTATCCCAACATAAATGGTTGTCCTTTTAAGATGGAAATTTGGCAATAACCTCCAGGCAGGCTACTACTGGAGGTTATGTGAAGATGGAGAATATTTTTAGTTTTAACTCTTCATTTGCTCTAGCTAATTTTTGAAATAGTCAGGATTTAATTTGTTCCTTATTTTAAAGGAACAAATAATGTTGTTTTGTTTTTAAAAAAGTTAAGTCTTCTGGACTTTGCCCTCAATTATAACATGTTTTACTGAACTTTTGGAGAATTACATATAGACTATTTGGGAAGAAGCTGGAAGTGGAATTTTTTAAATAAAAACTTAAAGGGGTTGGAGGTCTATAAAACTTTTACTTCAATCTCTCATCATTTTGTTCATCTTGTCAATTGGTCATCCTTTAACTTTTGGTCGACATTAATTTAATGCACAGAGTTCACAGCATAGCAATTTTCTGAGGGCTTTGACCGGCACTAAGATAGGACAAAAACATGTCGTGACACTTAATTTTAGGAGCAGTAGATTCTCCATCTAGACCACCGGTTGGCCACCGCTGATCTAGACCCATGTGTGCAGTCACGAAGCTCAAGTGCATCAAGTGAATACAAAAAATACCTTGCAAGAACTTAATTTTCACAGAAGTAGGATTTTTATTTACCACTGTGACCTCACTAAGGAGAACAGTGCTTAGTATACAATAGGCACTCAACTATTTGTTAAATGGATTTATTTTCCATGTACAATTATCCCTCAATCCAAGCCAAACCGAGCAGAGTATTCTTCTAAGTTGAATTTTAAGAGGAAAAACTACATACAGTGTCACTGTCAAAGATAGAAGTGTGCACTAATAATCAGCTCTCTGCAGATAGGAGGACACAAGAAAATCAAAATCTTAACCATCAATGTCTAATTCTGCCTGAACAACTTTTCAGGAAAGACCCTATTTTGCCTCAAGAAAGCAAGGGAAACTTAGTTACCGGGAAAAGCAGAATGCATCTATGTAAAAAAACAAGATGTAATTTCTTAGTCATGACCATTTTTTCATAAATATAACAAATGACAGTTAATGTCAGTGGTATACATTATCTAGGTTTTTATCTTATGTTTCCTGTTAGTTCAGGTATACAAACTGATTCGTTTTAAACAGATGTTCAATTTATCATTGTATTCTAGCAGTGTTATCAGCACTCCACTAAGCAACATCAGGCTCTTAAACAAATTAAACCACTATATCAGATCAAATTAAACCATTCTCTTTGACATAGCTAAGTCATCGAGGGATAGGAGAAAAGGTATAATGGTAGATTTTAGCTGGGCTGAAAAAGACCAGACACTTTTATCCCTTACCTTATTAGCACGTATCTGTTTGTAAATATCTGTTTGCTGCCGAATTCGATATTCCAAGTCTGAAACATGAGCCTGAAGCCAGTTCCAGCGGCTGACAATAGCCGCTCGGTCTGCAGCCCACCTCCCGAATGATAATGGCTGCAGGCTATCATGTTAAAGCCAAACTAGACTCTTACTATTCTTACCCAAAGTTTAACAATTTTTACTAAATAAATCCTCCTCAAATTTGTTGTATGCCTTTAGTCTATTCCAAAGCCCTGAAATAATTGTTTTGCAGTAAGCATTTTATACAGTTTAATAGTTGTTTTGGGGGAAGAGGATTTGCCAATCTTTTCACCCACCACTGCTAGAACTCAATCATTTCATTTTTACTTGAGTTGATTTTTTTTTTGAGCCAATGTTTTTATTTTTATAAAGTCTGTATTATCTTCCCAGGGTTACCATAACAAGGTATCCCAAACTGGGTGACTTAAAACAACAGAAATGTATTTTCTCACTGTTATAGAAGCTAGAAGGCCAAAATTAAGGTGTCGGCGATGCCACGATTCCTCCCAAGGATGTGTCCTGTGCCTTCTCTTAGCTTCTGGAGTTGTCAATCATTGGTGTTCTTAGCTTGTGGATGCATCACTCTAGTCTCTACCTCTGTGATCACATGGGGTTCTCCCTGTCTGTCTTCATATCTTCTGTGTGTGTGTTTATAGCAGCAACATTTATACTAAACAAGAGGCCCAGTGCAAAAAACTCGTGCATGGGTAGGGTCCCTAAGGGCTGCTGGCCGGGGCTTCCCTTCCCCTGGCTGCCTGCTGCACCTGCCGGCCAGGGTGGGGCCGGCCAGGGTAAGGGGCCGCGGGCAGTTGGCTGACCAGCCCAGCCCCTTGGTCGAACTCCCGGTCAAAGGGACAATTTACATATTAGGCTTTTATTATATAGGATGGGGGTGGAAGGTTTTTAACATCTCAAGGCCCTTACGTAGACCAACTCTATTCTAAGAAAAAATCAAAGATTTAGTTTGTCTGCCTCCCTATCTGTCACAGGACACACAATGATAAAACTATTCACATACAGATAGATACTCCCCAAATAACTAATTGAAACTGCTTTCTAGTATCCTGATTTTGTGGAACATAATTTCTCTGAAATGGTTTTAATTCCCCAGGAAATAGAAATATTTTCTACTTTCACATAAGACATATAATCAAGAATTCAGCAATGTTGCCAAGATTAACGTATAAAAACTAATAGTGTTGCCGAAACCAGTTTGGCTCAGTGGATAGAGCGTCGGCCTGCGGACTGAAAGATCCCAGGTTCGATTCCGGTCAAGGGCATGTACCTGGGCCCATGTACAAGGGCATGTTGTGGACACATCCCCAGTGGGGGATGTGCAGGAGGCGGCTGATCGATGTTTATCTCTCATTGATGTTTCTGACTCTCTATCTCTCTCCCTTCCTCTCTGTAAAAAATCAATATATATTTTTTAAAAAAAACTAATAGTGTTTACATGTGACAAGTAAAAAATACTCATAAAAAAACCTACTCACAACACCAACAAATGGTAATATTATACACAAAAGATCTTTACAGAGAAAATAACAAAACCTAAAAAAAACCCAGAAAGACCTACATAGTGAGATTTTTTTCAAAAGATAGCAATTTCACATATATCTATAAATTCTAATAAATTCCAATTCCTTACAGGGTTTTTTAAAAATAAACTTTATTTATTGATTGATTTCAGAAAGAGGAAGTGAGGGAGAAGGTTAGAGAAACATCAATTTGTTCTACTTATTTATGCATTCATTGGATGGTTCTTTTTGTTTTTAATTCTCACTCAAGAATATTTTTCCCCATTGATTTTTAGAGAGTGGAAAGAAGGGAGAGAGGGAGAATGGGGGGAGAGGGGGAAAAGAGAGAGAGAGAGGGAGAGAGAGGGAGAGAAACATCCATGCAAGAGAGGAGACACATTGATTGGTTGCTTCCTGCATGCCTGCAGACCATGGTACAGAGTCAAGCCCACAATCGAGGTATCTGCCCTTGACTGGAATCAAACCCAAAACCTTTCAATCCACAGGTCAACACTCTATACACTGAGCCTAACTGGCTAGGGCTGATTCTTTTTTAAAAACTATTTATTGCCCTGACTGGTTTGGCTCAGTGGATGGAGCGTCGGCCTGCGGGACTGAAGGGTCCCCGGCTCGATTCCGGTCAAGGGCATGTGCCTTGGTTGCGGGCAAATTCCCAGTGGGGCGTGTGCAGGAGGCAGCTGATCGATGTTTCTCTCTCATCAATGTTTCTGACTCTCTATCCCTCTCCCTTCTTCTCTGTAAAAAAATCAATAAAACATTTTTTTTAAAAAAAACTATTTATTGATTTTTTTTCTTTTTGAGAGAGAACTATCAATATGAAAGTGAAACATGGATCAGCTTTGCTCCCCACTGGGGATCGAGTCCACAACCCAGGCATATACCCTGAGTGGGAATCAAACTGGTAACCCCCCAGGTGCATTGGACAATACCCAATCAACTCCAGTGGTCGGCAAACTGCGGCTCGTGAGCCACATGCGGTTCTTTGGCCCCTTGAATGTGACTCTTCCACAAAATACCACGTGCGGGCACGCACGTACAGTGCGAGTGAAACTTCGTGGCCCATGCGCAGAAGTCAGTATTTTGTGGAAGAGCGACACTCAAGGGGCCAAAGAGCTGCATGTAGCTCGTGAGCCGCAGTTTGCTGACCACTGAACTAAACCACACCAGCCTAGAAGGATGATTCTTGTATGTGTCCTGACTGGGATTGAATCTGCAGCCTTGTGTATTGGGATGATGCTCTAACCAACTGAGATACCTGGCCAGGGCCCCTACAGGGATTTTAATGGAAGCTGACAAACAGAACCAAAAACTTACACAGAAAAAAGGAGCAAAAGTAGAGAAATTCTGAAAAAAAAAATATGATGAAAAAAATCGTATTACAATTACAGAAAGCTAAGATAATTAAGGCAGTCTAGAAAGACAAAAGACCTATGTGACAGAATACAGAGCCCCAAAACTTAAAACTGAATATACAAAAAATGGCATTCATACCAGTGGGGAAATACTGAACTATTTAACAAATGGTATTGAAGTGGCCAGTTCTTTACATGGAAAAAGTAAAATTAGATCCCTTCTTCATGGTATACTTGCATAATTTTAGAATTTCTCAATCTGAAAAGCCAAACTTAAAACAAAGGAAGAGTACCTTTGGCGCTTCAGGGGAATGATTTAAATAAAACAACACACATAGCTAAAGATTAAATATCAAAATATATAACTACAGTAAGGTTAAAAAAAATCTAATAAAAGATGAACAAAGTGAAAATTCACATAAGAGAATTCCAAATGGCCAATACATACATAAAAATATGCTATGTCTTGTTAGATTTTGGTTAAAATATTAGCATTAGGTCAAATATTAAAAAGTAGTTTTAAACTCAGCTTGGAAAAACCAGGTGTCAGTGAAATGTAAAAATCAACAATTCATGATTTACTAATAACAATAAAAACTGGCACGACCACTTTTGAAGAGCAGTTTGAAAATATTGTACTTGGGTAGGTGGAAAATGTGCATACCCATCCATCATGAAATTTTATTCAGAGAACATAACCTATATCTCTGTAAGCACAAATGTTCATTGCAAGAGAATCTGTTACAACTAAAAATCAGTTAATCTAATCTGCTAAAGTATGAAAATAGATAAACTATAATTTTACTATATAAAATTTTCTATAGTAATAATATTAACTAGAACTATCTGTATCAACATGACTATATCTCAGAACAATGTTCAATGGAAAAACTAAAAACAAACTAAACAAAAATACATACTGTGATACACACCAGTAGAGGAATTCATGGAATACTGTTTATCAGTTTAATTATTACATGTATCAACATGACTAAATCTCAGCAATGTGAAATGAGAAAACTACAAAAACTAAAAAAGAATAAACATACAATAAAGATTGTCATAAATAATAAATGTATAAAAACATGCCCAGGCCGACGAGTGTGGCTCAGTGGTTGAGTGCTGACCTATGAACCAGGAGGTCATGGTTCCATTCCCAGTCAGGGCACATGCCTGGGTTGCAGGCTCAGTAGGAGACAGCTGATCAATGATTCTCTCTCATTATTGATGTTTCTATCTCTCTCCCTTTCCCTTCCTCTCTGAAATCACTAAAAATATATGTTTTAAAAATTCACAGAACTTATATACAACAAATTCATAAGAAGGGTCCCCTACCTCTGGAAACAGAGAAATTGGATTTTAGCTCTACCTCTTATGTAATGCTTGATTTCTCTTTAATATATGTGCTGCCAAAACAAGCACATTGACTTCTCTTTAAATAACAAAAAGAAACATGGCAACATTTTTAAACTCCTTAAATATTAGAGGGGTAGCACGGCATCTAGTATAATCTGTAATCATAGTATTTCATAATCTCCCACAAAATTATTTTTCAAGAAAGAAGCAACAGTTACACTGTCCTTAGCCCACTTCCAATCAAAATATACATACTCCTAAAATTTTAAGTGACTATAAGTAAACTTTAACATAGACCCCTGATAGGGTGTTATGTTGTCAATAATAAAACAAATTTAACCACAATAGGTTTAGAAATGATTTAATACTTAATCATATATTACTAGAGGCCTGGTGTACGGATTCGTGCACCGGTAGGGTCCCTCAACCTGGCCTGCGCCCTCTTGCAATCCGGGACCCCTCAGAGTATGTAGTAATGCGTGAAGCAGCAGGCAGCCAGGGAGGAGCCTGAGCCCAGGCCAGGCGCGCCTCTGCACCAGCTCATCCCAGCCCCGCTGGGACTGCCGCCTCTGCTCAGTAGTGCTGCCTCAGAGGCAGGAGAGGCTTGTGTACAGCTGCGAGCCCAGCGTCTGGCACCCTGTTGGTCAGCTGAGCGGCACTCACACTGTGGGAGCACACTGACCACCAGGGGGCAGCTCCTGCATTGAGCATCTGTCCCCTGGTGGTCAGTGTGTGTCACAGCTACCAGTCAACCGGTCGTTTGGTCGCTTAGGCTTTTATATATACAGATAATTAAGACCAAGGGTAGCAATGATATCCTAACTTTTAT